CTTTAATAATTTATTTTTATTTTGACGTTTCGTAGACGATTGATAGATGAACTATTTAATATTATATTCAGTATATTCAGTTCAGTTTTTTAACCAATATAATACAAAATTACTTCTCCGGAATCTCTTTATACAATATATATGTTAAAAACATATTCTATAGTATTCTGAAATATTTATTATAAAAAACATGATGTTAATAGCTGCCTGCCTACAGAGCTGGGAACTCTTGTATTGTGGATTACGAAATCAATGCTTGATCTTGATCTTTTTTTAATCTGGAGATTAACTAAATCTTTATTAGATATCTCTCCGTATAATTTTACCCTGAAGGAAGGACCTTAATAAAGAGATCAAGCATTAATCCTCAAATTAAAAGTGCCCATTGTGAATATCTGGATAGTGAGTATCCAACACAATAGTTCCCATTGTGAATATCTGGATAGTGAGTATCCAACACAATAGTTCCCATTGTGAATATCTGGATAGTGAGTATCCAACACAATAGTGCCCATTGTGAATATCTGGATAGTGAGTATCCAACACAATAGTGCCCATTGTGAATATCTGGATAGTGAGTATCCAACACAATAGTTCCCAGCTCAGGCCTAGCTGCCTGTCCTTGTGATCAGATTACTAAAATCATAGATAAGTAAAAATAACAGATAGGATACGAGATGTCGTCTTTTCAAGATTTGGATGAAACTCGTTCACAATAACCATGAGGTAGAAGACCAGAGGAGTTTCGGGCAGTCGGCGTAGAACAGGTTCTCTCTTTCTTGTAATTCTACGCCGACTGCGTGAAACTCCTATGGGCTTCTTCCTCAGGGTTATCGTGAACGAGTTTCATCGAAATCTTGAAAAGACGACGTCAAGTGTCCTATCTGTTGTTTTAATAAATCTATGACTAAAATACAAGAATTTAAATTTTTCTCCAGGTATAACTTAGAACAGAGAACACCTTGATGATAATCTTGTTTAAATTTTCACTAAATCGCGGAAAAAGTTTAATTTAGCAAATGAAATTCTTTCATGCACAGTTCACACTCTCCATGCTTTCTGCAAAACAGTAATGTTTTCACACCTGTCTTCGGTCCATATAAATCAGCTGTTACCATGCCCTTGATACAGGATGATCTGTAAAGGATAAAACTATATGCACTCATACAGTTTTACAGTAGGGTATCCGATTCACTATAGCACCCTGTTTTGACTGATCAAGATTAAATTAGATATTCATGTTTTTCTCTTTCAACAAATTGAATATTTTAAATTTTTGGTTTTCTGCAAATGTTNCGATTTTAGAGATGAAAAAGTTTTCAACAAAGGAAACGATGATTTCTCCTCCTCAATCTTAATCAGGTAATGGTACAAAGGATAATAACAAATACAGTTCCTTTAAAAGATGATATATCTCTTCTATCTTACATGGTTTCCTCAAGCATCACAAGAAGTGAGTCTTTTTCCACAAACTCTGATTTTCTGATCCCTATATATTTGAAACCTGATGTCGTACACCTTTGATTTTTGATTGTAAAGTATAAAAAATTAAAGGTTTTCGCCATTAGGTTGCAAAGACATAGGGATTAGAAAAGTTGAGTTGTAACCAAAAACTCAATTCTTTTATTTATTTCTTCACCAACATTTATTAAAGTCTTTTTAAAACATTTTTGGTGTCCTGTCCCTGCAAACATCTTTCTTTCTTTAAAAGTAGCAGAAAAAAACACATTTATATCTTTAAATCAACACTTTTATTTAGGTTTTTATCATCATTAAAGTCCTTTTTTGTAACTTACTGACCTATGATCAAGATAGTACGATTGTCGCAAATGTTAATAAACCTAACGCAGTTTTAGCACAAGAATGTTTTAATTAAAAATTTTGCGCAAATCAAATGCACAGCTATAATAATGAATTATTATTTAGCTATCTAACTATTAAATTTTAATGTTACAAAATGAGTGATTGTTTAAAAATTCCTCTAAAACACATAAATATTTCAGGATTAAATTCTAATTAAAAGAGATAGAAGGTTTTAGCGCTGGTTTTCAAAATTTATTCTGTTTAAGTTTATAAAAAAAATATAAATCAAAACTTTCAACCAACAGTTCATCAGAGAACAAATTTAGGGAGAATTAAAATGAGTAAACAAGAGAATTAAATATTGAGAGGAAGGATTAGTAAGAAGTAGAAGAATACGGAGTTATGAGAAGGAGTAGTACAGTATTTGAAGTAAGGAGTAGGAGTATATGGAGTTATGAGAAGGAGTAGTACAGTATTTGAAGTAAGGAGTAGGAGTATACGGAGTTATGAGAAGGAGTAGTAGTATTGGAAGTAAGGAATAGAAGTATTCGGAGTAATGAGAAGGAGTAGTAGTGTTTGAAGTAAGGAATAGAAGTATACGGAGTAATGAGAAGGAGTAGAAGTATTGAAGTAAGGAGTAGAAGTTTACGGAGTTATGAGAAGGAGTAGTAGTGTTCGAAGTAAGGAGTAGAAGTATACGGAGTTATGAGAAGGAGTAGGAGTATTGAAGTAAGAAGTAGAAGTATACGGAATTATGCGGAGGAGTAGTAGTATTCGAAGTAAAGGAGTAGAAGTATACGGAGTTATGAGAAGGATCAGTAGTATTCGAAGTAAGAAGTAGAAGCCAAAGTGAATAAAGGAGTAGGAGTAAACGCACAGTTAAGAGTAGGACTATTCGGAGGAAGGAGTAGAAGCATATGCAGAGTTAGAACTGTAGTTACTCCCGCCGTTTACCCGCGCTTGGTTGTAAATTACGATTTTAGCTATATTTTTAGCTAAGAACATTTCATTGGTTCTCCCAATTGTTCCCAAATCAAAATTTTAGGCAAATTGGTCCAAGGGTTCATTAGTTATGATCGGATATTCAAACAAACAAACAAACAGGCAGACAAATTGAGATTACTACTTTATATATATATATATATATATATATATATATATATACAGATACATCTTGGAATAGGATAGATTATGAAGAAGCTGAAGGGTTTAGAGGGAAAATCTATTAATAATTCTTATCTCGTGCATTACACTCCTATTATATAATCGATGTTGAGTTCTTTTTATACATTCATTTATCATTAAGAACTACATGGATAATTTACGTCATGGTCTATTTTAGTTTAAAAACATGAATGTTCTTATTTTTATATTTCTCAACCTTCTCAATCAAGTTGAGATTCTTGAGATTATATTATAAGCCTTCATCTAAGATTTCCATCTATTCTTTTTGGTATATTCTCTTTCAAGTGATTATTTCCTATATGTATTTTGGTTCTCACGACGTTAGCCATAGATTAATAACAATGCAGATAGAACACCGGATGTAGTATTTTCAAGCTTTAGGGTTTTTCGTTCACAATAACCCTGAGGCAGCAGCCCAAAGGAGTTACGCGTATGCTGCGTTGAATGACAAGACAGAGAGTGAGCATCCGCGTAACTCATTTGGGCTTCTGCCTCCGGGTTGTTGTGAACGAAAAACGCCTAAATCTTGAAGAGGGGACATCTAGTGTTCTACCTGTTGTTATTAGTCTATGATTTTATCCTTTTTGTTTGACTTATTGATTGATTATTTCTTACTTTAATTTCCTTTATCTAAATTTGTTTTTACCTTTCTATCATTTTCTTTTTAGCTTTAGTCATTTTTTCTTGATTTGTGTCCTGTTTCCTCATATTTCCAGTATTTAGTTTTCAACAGTAGACCCCCCCCCCTCCACCTTTTTCTAATGCTATGGTACTGCTGCTTACCTCTTCATGCGTACACAAGGGGGTCAACCCCGAATCAATAAATAACTCAAGACTAATTTATATAAAAACTGTTATCTATCAATATTAAACAAACCATGTTGACAGAAACGAATTGAGTCTTTGCCACAATTCCTGATTTTCTAATCTCTATATCTTTGCAACCCAATGCCTGAAACCTTAGATATTTTAAATTATGAATTCTGTTGGATCAAATAATCTAAGTTTGAAATATCAAAGGTTTACACCATCAGGTGGCACAGATATAAGGATTAGAATATTTGAGTCAGGACTCAATTCCTTAATAAAATAGAGAAGGATTTTTCAGCATTTTTCACCTATCAGACAAAAACATATATTTCTCAGCAATCTAAACCTTTGCCAAATTGTCTTTGTGCATTTACCGTCTATAAATCTATTCATCTCTCCTTCCATGTAAATACTTTGCTTGTTTGGTTTGTTGGGTGTTTGTATGCAATTCGTTTAAACAGCTGAACCATTCGGGCCAACTTTTTTTACGACACTCAATGACCCCAGGCCTGAGAAGCTTTATGAATTGTTAATGACAAGTTTTTACTGAAAAAAAACTTGAACATTTATGTTTTTAATAATACGCAAATTTAATGAGAAAAATCCTGAAATGCAAATTTAAAAGAAAAATTGCAGTTTTGGTTGACAATAGAAAAGAAGCGCGGAACGGCCTTGATGACTGGTTTTTATTATATAATTATCTTTAATCATACCCATCTTCAATCCTATCCATCTTAATCCTACCTCTATTGAAATCCTATCATCTTTAATACTACCCCGTTTCAATCCTACCCATCTTTAATCCTACCATCTTTAATACTACCCCGTTTCAATCCTACCCATCTTTAATCCTACCCATCTTCAATCGTACCCAACTTCAATCCTACCCATCTTTAATCCTACCCATCTTCAATCCTACCCATCTTTAATCCTACCCATCTTCAATCCTACTCATCTTCAATCCTACCCATCTTCAATCCTGTGCTACTTCAATCCTACCCATCTTCAATCCTACCAATCTCTAATCCCACCAATCTCTAATCCTACCAATCTTCAATCCTATCCATCTTCAATCCCACAAAACTCCAACCCTAGCAATGTGAAAACAACAGTCTTCTTTCTCCTGTGGTGCTGTTGGGCGGATTCTGTTGAGTGTTTTCCGGAGTTTTGTGATTAGTCCGGATTAAGAACTATCCCGACCGTTGAAGGGCGAGTTCCCGTCCCTCTTCTCCCGTCCTCGCTTCTTCAGTTCTCCAGTATATTGACTAGAGTCCGGTCTACACCCTGCTCACTCTGTACTAGATCCGTAATTTTCTCAGTGTAGTGCGACCAGGTAAATATTAACAATTCTGCTTTAATCAGTGATTCCTACCATCAATTCTTTAAGATACTGTTTTAACAAACTTGTTCAGAATATAGAATAACTTATTTCGAAACTGCGAATATTATGTTAGATTTAGAAGAAAGAATATTAGGAATATCTTTTAAACTTTTAGCTGAATATAATCTAAAGTTCAGAAAAATTCGATCAACCCTCGCGTTCCTCGTTATTTAACTAGGCATATATCCCCCAATTTAAACCTAGAATTACTGAAACAACTTCAAGATTATATCCCGGTATATTTGCACATTTTTCTCAAATTCTCATATATTTTATCTATATACACATCATACGTATATATATATATATATATATGTGTGTGTATTATATATATACTTTTACATAGATATGTGTTAACTTTCCAAGGGTAACTAACGCATAATTAATTTAAATTGATGAAAATTAGGTTGTGTCAAAAAATTAAATGTAAAGCAAGTTATTACATAGATGTACGCATTTTTTGTACTGCAGTGTACTGTCTCTGGACACAAGACAGCCTGACATGGGATCCATCTTTCACATAAAAAATTCTGGTCCTAGGAAACTATTATGTAAATTATCAAAATGATATCCTCCTCGGATACTAAAGGAACACTGATGCATCCAAGGTGTATAGAATATATTCTATATTCTATATTCTCCTTGGATGCATCTATTCTTGTTTACAAACACAGCCCAGAGAGAACTGGTTTCAATGTGTGCGCACAGAATACACAACAGCAATTAACTTTCCTTGCAATTACCTTGGGTCGTGCCATGTTTAAAATCTTATAGTAGATGATTTTGCATATTGAAGAGGGCCCTTGTCTAATGAATTTTAAATTATCAGAATTAAAAGATTTTTACACTTTTCCACATTTTTTCAGCTTAATCAGCTTTTATGCTTAAACACTTAACACAAAACGATAATTGATGCCCGAGCCTCAAATCTGAACCGATTTTTGTTCTTTTGGACATTTCAAAGTAACCGAAGCCAAAACCAAAGGTTTCAACCGATTTTTCGTTTTGAGGACATCTTAAGCAGGAAAACAGGTTGAATTAAGAAAACGTTTTTTTTTAAACCATCAAAGGATTTTTAAAACTTCTATCGTTCATCTAGTTTCCTACGAAACACAAGATTTTGCTTGCACCATTAGATCAACAATTTTAAGGAAATATTCTTAACGTTAAAAAAAAAAATCGGTTCAGCATTGAGTTATATCTTGCATCAATCGGAAAAGGCTATAAAACGGATTAGAAGATTTTTTAAACTTCAATGTAAAAAACGTGTCTAAAGAGAGGGACCGTCCCTTTCCGCTCAAATTCTGAACGAAAAATCGGCTTTTTCTCCGGCCACCGTTGTTTTTGAAAAGTAAAACTATTACCAATCAAGAGCGAATAGACTGTTAAGTTTACCCTGAAATTATCCAAATAAGTGAAGTTGTAATGTTTAATGAACATAAAACACAGTTTACACAAATTCATTTCGCAAAAGAAGTTGATTTTCAAGATAAAATTATTATAAAAACATCTAATGCCTGCAGGTCGTCTTCCTCGGTCACAGTTTTATGGGTCCTACTTTAGATCTTTCTTTTTCTTTCTTGATTTGTCGCTGGTAACTTTCCCCATCTAGGTTTAATTAAACTGCAGTTTCAAAACTTCAGGTTTAATTTAACTTAAACTTTTTCCGAATTCCTAATTCCCATTCTAAACTCAGAGCATTAGTTCGTGTCTCAATTCACCCACTCTCACATTCCTAATTATCATTCTAAACTCAGAGCATTAGTTCGTGTCTTAATTCACCCACTCTCACATTCCTAATTATCATTCTAAACTCAGAGCATTAGTTCGTGTCTTAATTCACCCACTCTCACATTCCTAATTTTCATTCTAAACTCAGAGCATTAGTTCGTGTCTTAATTCACTCACTCTCACATTCTAATTTTCATTCTAAACTCAGAGCATTTGTTTGTGTCTTTATAATTCACTCACTCTCACATTTTAATTCCCATTCTAAACTCAGAGCATTTGTTCATGTCTTAATAATTCACTCCCTCTCACATTCTAATTTTCTTTCTAAACTCGGAGCATTTATTCGTGTCTTAATAATTCACCCCCAGATCACATTCTAAACTCAGAGCATTTATTCCTGTCTTAATTCACCCACTCTCACATTCTAATTTTCATTCTAAACTCAGACCACTTATTCGTGTCTTTATGATTCACCCCCAGCTCACATTCTAATTTTCATTCTAAACTCAGAGCATTTTATTCGTGTCTTAATAATTCACTCACTCTCACATTCTAATTCCCATTCTAAACTCAGAGCATTTGTTCGTGTCTTTATGATTCAATCCCTCTCACATTCTAATTTTCTTTCTAAACTCAGAACATTTGTTCATGTCTTAATAATTCACTCACTCTCACATTCTAATTTTCATTCTAAACTCAGAGCATTTGTTCGTGTCTTTATAATTCACTCACTCTCACATTCTACTTTTCATGCAATAATAGAAATCTTCATCAAACTGCAGTCTTCCTTATAAAGGAAATTTGAAAATGACGATGAAATCTAGTTCTTTTATCAAATATACATATATAGAAGGATTACAAAGTACTTCTAAAAATTAACATTGTCAATTGTGACAATTACAATTTTCATTCTTTCTTCTAAATTCGTTCACTTAAAAACATCTTTTGCGTTCCACACGGACATACTGCACAGGGATTTATATATTTTTAATCGTTTTATCAGATGGGGAATTGTAAAATTATATTTTTAAAAGACTGTGAAATATATTCAAAATATTGACGATTCATACTCATAATGCTGACTACATTTCATCAATCTATTCATACTCATAATGTTTACTACATTTCATTAATCTATTCATATTCATAATGTTTACTAACTTCCACTTATCCCTCTATGCATAGATTCATCTGCCTGGTTTAGATTGATTTGTAATAAACCTAGATCTTCAATACTCCTCATTTTATAGTAGATAGATAGATAGTATATAGATAGATAGATAGATAGATAGATAGATAGATAGATAGATAGATCTAGGTGCTTGTACAAGTTTGGCTAAACATGAGATTGTATGGGATAAAATATTTCCTCATCTGTGTACTCTGTATTTACTTTATGTTTATACAGAGTTACTCACAAATATTGAGACTTGAGAAACAATTAGATTAAATTCTGAAATAACCTTCACGAAATATTCAGGATTAAAGTTAAGTTTCATTATATTGCGGCTAACCCTTCTGAAGTTTTCAGTACTGAGTAATTATCTGCAATGATTAAATAGAAATATAATTCTTGTAAGATGTCGTATTTTTTTTTTTTTTTTCTTTGAAACCCCTGTCTAGAAACTGAAAGCAAAAAACAGAGGAGAGGTAACTGCACAAAATATACATTTTATGTCAATCTAAATATTTTTGTTTTCAAAATACAAAATACGATTTCCAACCAATTCACAGGATCGACCATAGATTAATAACAATAACGAAAGAACACTAGATGTCGTCTTTTTCAAGATTTAAGGGTTTTTCGTTCACAGTAACCCTGAGGCAGAAGCCCAAAGGAGTTACGGGCATGCCATGATGAATTACAAGACATGGAGAGAGAAGAGCATGCACGTTACTCCTTTGGGTCTCTGCCTCAGGGTTATTTTTAATGAAAAATCCCTAAGTCTTGAAAAGACGACATCTAGTGTTCGATCTGTATTAATCTATCTATGGAATCAACATTTGAAATATTGTTGGATTTGCTTTCTCGGATAAATTAAACAGTTTCAAAACAGTTTAAAACATTTTGTTAATATTAAATTTGATTGTTTGATATTTTAAAGTTTAAACTAAGTTATTTTTGATAAGTTAAAAAGTTTTGAAAGTTTTCTAAAAGTTTGAAAGGACGAAAATATTATTTTGCAAAGCATTCTTAAACCGCTTCCAACTTTTTAAATGGTTCAACTCAGTTTTCCAATCTTCGAACTCGTTAAGGGATCCTTCGTGTAATTCTAATTGGACTTCCATTTGGGGAAGGCAATATACGATTCACAACGGCACTATAAACATTTTCTGATCATAGATCAGATGTCAAATTCCAAGTTAATTAATGTAGAAATGCACGAAAATATCAATTTATAAAATCCCGGCAAGGAATTGAGTTTTTAACACAAACTCTAGTTTTCTAAACCTTTTATCTTCACAACCCAATGTACAGTGATAACCAGAAAACAATATAATAGGGAGATGACATTAAAGCAATAATTAAGTGTATATGTGATTCAAGTGTTCCAAGTCAAATATTTTTACTATACACTTATCAAATCACTAATTTAGTGAAATAGGCCTGTTTACACTGCACAATGACTGTGCCTCATGCTCATTGAACTTTTTAAATCTATAACTATATTCTAAAAGTCGTCTTCCTATTTCAGAGTTGTCTGGTTATCACTGTAGGAATCATAAAGTGTGAATTCTGGTTGATAAAATATCACAGTTTGAAATATCACAGGTTTAAATGATCAGGTTGTAAAAATATACGGGTTGGAAGTTTTCGGTTTGTGTGAAAAGACTAAATTCTTTTGCAAGATTTTATTTTAGTTTTCAAAGGCCGAACAATTTTTTGAAAGAAAGTTTCTGTCTTTAATTTATTTCTGGGGGGATGAGCCAAAAAAGAGCCGTTTCTAGCCTAAAGTCTTTGAAAGTTTTTGTATTGTGTTTTTAAAATTAAAGTTAAAGAAATAAATTTTCGAAAACATTGGAGATAAAATGATGTTTACAATACACAGTTTGACACGAACCTATAAATATTCTCACTAAAACTTCGCATTAAGTTTACAAATCTATAGACAGAACATATTGTGCTTGAAATAATGAAGATTTAATCTCAAATTCAAAAAATACAAAAACTACTTTGCCAGAGAAAAGCAGATCCATTAAATTAACAGATTACTGGTATT